GGCGGGGGAAGGGCTCGCGGGGCGCGCGGAAGCGCTCGCTGCTGCGGCGCTCACGCTCTCGCTCTCTGTCCCGCTCGCGCGCCTCCCGCCCCTTCTCCCGGTCCCGCGGCCGCTCCCTCTCCCGCTCCCTCTCCCTCTCCCGCGGGCGCTCGCGGTCTCGCTCGCGCTCCCGCTCCTTCTCCCGCTCCCGCTCCCGCTCCCGCGGCTTCTCCGAGGGCTTCGGGGCCTCCCGCTCCCGCCCCCTCCGCTCCTCCCGCGCCATCCTCAACTCCCCAGAGCCTCTCCCGCCCGAGGGGGCCCCGCGCCGCGGCCTGCTGCTCCAGCGGCCCCTGCTGCCTGCGCGCCGCTGCTGCAGCACCACTGCGCCCGCCCCGCAGCAGCCCCGCGCCCGCAGCGGCAACCCCGAACCCCGCGATCCGACGCGCTCCCGAGCCCCCAGCGCCCTTCAACTGGCCCCCAAGCTCGTGCATGCACTTCCAAACGCTGGCAGCTTCAAATTCGAAGAAAAAACGCCGCGGAACAGCTCCAAACGCCACTGTTCAAGTCCAGCTGCTGCTCCGGCCGCCGGGGTGGACACGCAGCTCCAATCGCCAGGATCCGCGTGTCTTTTCGCCGCCTTTGCAGCAAAAAACCACAGGAATCCAAAAGAAATAAATAATTCCGCAAAATCTCCGAGAAACAACGGAGAACTGCAGCAGCCGCAGCATGCAACCCGCGAGCCGCGCGGGAGAAGCAGAGTTGGCCGCTTGCTTGCAGCCACAAACCCAACAAAACTCTTTTTCCGTCTTCTTTATTTCTCTTTTAAACTAAAATTGCGCAGTTCGGATCCCAAAAGAATAGTTTACCGCAAACCCTTGGTGCAGCAGCAGCGCCACAGGGCTGTGGGCCCTCCCTCGCCAGGTCCTGGCAGCGTTGGAGGCTGCTGGTTTCCGCAGCACAGCTAAACTTCAACACAGTATTCCATTTTGTTTAACTCCATTTACTCTTTCTTTCCAATTACTATTTGCCCACTTCCAATATTCAAATATCCAGTCACGAGGGGAGGAAAACGGGGGGCCACGCCGCAGCGCTGTGCTGCTGGGAGTTTCTGTGAAACTTGAATTATTAAACTTGCACAATTTTGTCTTTATTTTCCGTTTCATTCCACTTTTGAGTCTTCAGGAATTCAGGCGGGACACAGGGGACTTGAATTGCCGTTTCCTGTTCTCGTTTTTTGCCCCATTTTGCACCACCGACTAAAAAGGAAACACTGAAGCCACTGAAGCCAAGAAGAGCCCCGTAAATTCGTCAAACACTAAAGAAAGCCCAAAATGCCATTTAATCGATTGTTTCTTCTGTGTTCTACCCCACAAACAAACAACTCGACAACTCCAAATGGAAAATTTGCCAAGTTCTGCCCTTCTTAATAAACCATTTAGTGCAATTCGCTCATTCGAAGTTGCATTGCTACTCATTAAAGACAGACAAAAGCTAAAAAGAGGCCAAATAGGGCAGAAGGACACAAAGAACAGCTCGGCGGGCCCTATTGCCTGCAGTTCAGTATTTTATTCGTCTCTTGTGGGCAACTCCTTTCCGTGTTCTTACTGCTACGAAGAAGTATCTTTCAATTTTAGATTTGTTTTCTTATCCGTTTTGCGCTGTTCCGATTCCAGTGGATCTGCAAAGAATTGAGAATTTAGCTTCTGTTGCAAATCTGTATCGCTTGGTACTGAGTTGAAGGGCTTCTGCGCAACCTTTGCCAATCTTTCCCCCGGAATGTAATAAAGCAATTAAACACAACACTAGAAACCTGAAAGCTGTTGATGAGGTGGGGAGTTCATCAATGGAACTCTAGCAAGGGGCCATTAATCGAATTGATGGCATGGAGTAAAGCATATTCCATTGTGGGTAACTATTTGCTGACCACAATGCACTAGAAAAGATAAGTACCTTTCAGAAATCTAATACAAATGTTGCTGCATGCACCAGAGGCATAGAGCCGCTGGTGCAGCGAAGCACAAGTCAAAGAAGGATAATCTGTTCATATTCAGATGCACGACAGTGCCAGTTTCTACTGGGAGATTGCACTCTGAACAAATGGCATTCAAAACTATTTTTGCAAATGCAGTGGAGTCTTAGCCTCAACCTTCTCACGTTTGAATGGGAGGAGTCATTTGCACCACTGCTGTGCATGCGCGCTCAATTGAGACTCTGTCTCGCCTTTGTTTGGAGAGATCAGCACTTAGTTTTTTTGGTTACTTTGGGAATCCCAGATTCTGAAAAGTATAAATGAAGCGACTCTACAGCACGTCAACTTGGCGCGACAACCCGAGGATTACGGTAATAGTGTCATTCGCAAACACATTGAACAAAAACCCATAAAATTGGAATTAATAATTATGGCACACAACTTACTCTAATAAGAAACCAAAATTCCAAAGGAAGCTTGCATTGGTTTCCCAAGAAAAACCGATTTGACCCTTATTGCTGGCCATCAGTTGGAAACAAAGCAAGGGGTGTTCTACGCAGACACTAACCAACAGGAATCGCGAGGAAGAAACTGCCAGCTCTTCCCTGCATGATAACGACTTGCTGAGATTCATATACGAAATGCTGCAATATATAGCGTCGTGCAGCATGTGAGAAAGCGCAAGCCTACATACAAGGATGTTACAGCAGGAGGCATCTGTGAAGTGAACCAGATTCCATTTGAAATAGAGTTCACAAGAGGGTTAAGAGGCCTCAAGGGGATATCTCGGAGCCAACGGAGGGCTTCCTGATCATTGAAAGGTAAGTTGGCGGCATGAGGTTCCTTTCATATGCATCTGTTTTGCACAAATATACCTGGGAGGGTGCATTTACAGCGGCCAGTGTCCAGAGGATTACATGAGGAAAGGAACAACGTAGACTGCTGGTATCACTGGGGGTTTTACAAGAAGATAGGTCGGCGTTGAAATGAAAGCATTGGCTTTGTAGACTATGCAGTCGGGCCTTCCGCTGGCTTGGTGCACTGGCCTGGCCTGTTCAAATAAAAGATTCCACAGAAAATGACGTAACTGTGATGGAACTCAGAAAATTTCATGGTGAGCACTAGATATCGCTTAAATATATTTATGCTTGTCGCTGTAAGACTAACTGCTGGGGGATGTGTTGGCAAGTACTATACGCAGGTGGGCTTGGCGCGCTGCATCTATACAGATCCTGGAGAACAATGTGCAGTGGATTTCGCCACAGACTTTGAGGGAATAGTCAGCGACTAAGAGGCTGCAAGGCAACAAGCTATGTATGAGCTGAGCAATATGCCAGATCTGTGAAGTTTCTTCGTTGCTTGAGCTTACTATTCTGGAAAGCCAGACGGAAAACGACGAAAAGCACCTCAGCCTCACGACCTGCCATTCGATTTGAAAATTCATATAGGCCGCTACGTGCTAGTAACGAAAGCAAAGGAAGCTGAAGCGTAAAATGATATCGCGGGAAACTGCGAGGAAAACAGCTAATTAGTTAGTGCGCTACTGTAAGAAGAGCCCGAATCTGTTGGTTCTCAGTGGAACGGACTGATAAGATATTTCGTGTCGACACTAGCAAGCAAATATCAAAAGGAGAAGCATAGTGAACCACAGGTCTTGATAACATACTTTAATGGAAACGTTGTTAATCAAGCGCAGGCGTTGCTGCTTTGGTCACTTCAGGAAAATGGCAGTAAATGCGACGGAGAGTTTCATTCGATTGTGGACAAGTATGGGACTCGGGACTTTCCCAATCCGATATACTTTTCTTTTTGTTCGAAAGACTATGCTTGACGGCTTTAGGAAGCTTCAGCTGCTTTGAACTTTGAATTCGTAATTTCCAGCTCATAGCGGTGCACTGAAGTGACCCGCACCAGAACACATACTCTCCACTTCCCTCAAGTACTTCCCCTGCGCACTTTGGGCTGCTCTTCATAAATGATTTGTATGCCGCAATTCAAGGGCATGGACTTCTTATGCAACAGTGGAATGGTAGTTGTTTTGAAGAGTCCATTTACTTTGCCAGGCATGTCCTACGCTCAGCTTCAAGCTCTCTATTCCATGCCGAGGCTTCACGTGCCTAGGTGAGTACAGGCCACAAGCCTGTTGTAAATGAGTCCTGGGTAAACAGAATTTTGCTTCAGACCTGTAAATAGGCCGTTTACTGCTGTTGAATAGGCTTGCTCCTACTGCTTTACAGACACCAAGAGATAATACGAAATGGAAGTGGGCAATTACATAGTATGTATCATGTAGAGCAACATCTAAAGCGGAAAGGTTAACCGCTGTCAAAAATAAAAGCTACTTACATACACCCCTGAAAATTTGGAAAGGTATAGTTTATGACATCTGCCCGGCACCCTAAAAAATAAAATTTTAAACACGTCAATACATTCTCGCAGTGTCTTACGTTTGAGTCCAACAGACGCTTTCCGTTTTTTAACTTGTGCTGATGGACACGGCGCTTTGTTTGGCTCGCCTCTCTATGCGTTTGCTCGCGAAGCTGAGCACATTTATACAGCTTGCTACGGATATCCAGAAGCTTTTTGACCGAAGGCGCGAGTGAATCCCATGCTCTCTCACTTGAAGGCGAAGTAACTGTTCCATTAGAAGGATGTTTGAAGGCCTAGTTGCAGTTGCCAGTCCGCCAAGAATACAGGTACAATAATAGCATGAACACAAGCGTTATGATGGGACATGCCAATGCAGAAGTAGTAGCTAGGTAACACTTACATATTTTACTGAAGCAACGTTGATTTCGCCCTCAGGAAATGGGTGCTGTGCCTGAACAAGACTGACCCGCATGCGGTCAACAGGCCAGAAGTGATCTGTATCTGCATTCACCGGGATGCACCTCTAAGCTGGAGAAGTTATGCGGGAAGTTAGGCTGATTACTTTGATTATGACAGTGCAGTGACGAACCAACAAGAATAGTATACCTCGACAGCAATGCTCGGTGACATAAAAGTTGTAATGAAAACGCCCACACTGTGTGGGATGCCTACGGGATAAGTAGAAGTCCAGTTATCAAGTTTCCACATTTCTTTTGGCAAACTCTGGACTGCAGTTCATGGCTGCAACGCTAAGGCGATTCGCGAAAGTATGCGATTATGAGGAATACTTTAACACGTTTTCCCACACGCAAGAGGATGGTTGACGGAGAGCTGCATCCTCCTTCTACGAAAATGGCTGTCTGCGTTTGTGGGGGGAGCCAGCACGTAGTCAGATCTGATTTTCCTTACTGGAAAGCTGTTGAGCAGCTCTACAGGCATTTCGCCATTCCTCCAGGTTTGGGGTTTTATGGTAGCCTTAGCTGTGTAGCGGCACTTAGGCAAGCCTCTGCTTGGCTTCATATGAAGTTGGCGGCTGCTTACGTGGTGAGACTGAAGGGTCTTAGCTCACCAGGAGGAGCTGCAGACGGCGAAAAGTTGGCGCAAGCTGTTGACGACACTTGAGGCGCGTCAGTCTTCGTGATTAGAGAGCAATCAAATAAGGTGAACGCCTCTAGGAAACGTGCACATTTGAGCATCTGGCCTTCAGTTTTTGTGAAACAATATAGGGATGGCGTTCTAGACAGCGCTTGAGACCAATTTTCAACGAAAGGGAGGCTGCTCTTTTGGAGCAGCACAAAGCCACTAACTTAGCGGACTCTGCATCTTGTGGCAAACCTACAACAGGGCTGTTGACTTCAGCATTTCAATACCCTGGGGCAGATTGTGGATTAGGGCCAATATAAAACCCAAAGTACCTCCATGGAATAGCGAGGGGCAGCACTTCCCCTCTCAGATGGTGACCTCCAAACGCAGTAGCTGAAAACTGCTACTGCTCCCCCTTGTGACCGCTAAACGAGCTGCTCCTAGTGAGGTAAGGCAACTAACTGGAGGTAGTTGGCCTGCTGAGATCCCTCAAAACAAAAATTGGCGTATGATGTCCCGAACATACAAGTGAGCAGATGGATGAATTTTTTCAGTTTTCAGTTGGGGGTTTGACAATGCAACACAAACGGCATGATTTTCTCTGACATTAATTACTTCGTTTGATATAAGAGATGAAACCTTCAGCTCTTTCTCAGTGGGAATATAGCAGATAAGCGCAACATGCTGTCTGGGAAATAGAGAACCAAGCCGCCGAGCATGAGCCCCCCCAGCGTCATTCATAGTGCAAATAGTCAGTGGAGCTAAGGAATGGAAAAATGGTAGATGCGCATGCAGGTAACTACATGACACTCTGCGTTTCCGGTAGGAGTCTGCATATCCGAGGTGCCCCAGGTGCCGCTGGCTTGTGCGAGTTCTGCACAGTTGTTGACTCATGCCGTATTTTATCGAATGCAACGAATAGTCTCCTGTATTGCAGCATTAAGAAATTGAAGTGTTGCGCTTGAAATTGCTTCTGTGCTGTTCCTCGAGTTGATTCCCTGCGATCCGGCGTCCTATTTCTCCCAAGGAGTCGATAAGCAAAATTTGAAAAATAAACAGAAAAAAGTTCTCTCGCAATGGAATTTACAGATTGATTGCTTGTGTGCAGCTCATTGGTGGCTGCGAAAAACAATGGATCTGATCTGCGCGATTTCAGAGGCGTTTGACAATGCGTGTGGGAGTTTAGTTACAGATCTTTGTCAAATGATTTATTGCCTGTTTAATGATTTTAAAGGCGTGTTAAATTTGTTTTTCTTTTAACTCTTTAGCGAAGTGGCAGCGCATGCTGCTCTTTAGAACTTCGCCAAGAGCTCAGAACCCCACACTGTGCACGAGCGTTTTTATGTGCGTCTATTCGCGAAGTTTATGTATTCAGAGGCTTCATCTGTTTAGTTTCTGGTGTTAAAAATGCGTTTCTGGTCAAAATGCAAATGCCCATTAGAATCACGTTTCTTTCCCGTTGCGCACAAGGCGGGCGCTGCCGACGAAGTCGTCGCTGGGCACTCAGGTCACTTGCTGCTTTGGGGGCTGGTGGTCTGGTTGTGTTTACTGCTTACACCGATATAAAATGCCATTTTCGGATATGGAATGCCATAAAGAGGCAGTGTTTTGAAGTAGTAGGAGTTCGATTGCTGCGTTCCGTGCAGATCGGGGCCGCAAAGACATGCGGCGGTTCTCTCCCACCTTGGGGAGAGCGCGGTGATTTGTTGGCCGTCTTTTGTAGTTTAAAGGCTTTTCAGGTTTATTCTTGCTGAATAAAAATACAGAGAAGGTCAAGTAGGCGGTTTTCCGATGGATAGAAGGCGAAGGGAAATCGCTGCGTCGTTTTCCATTCCAGGTTTTACCTTGCAGTTGCGGCAACGATGAGGCGGCTCACGAAGATACTGATTGCTGTTGGGATTGCGGTGGTGTTGGTGGCAGTTTTGGTTCTTACTCTGGTAATTGTTTTGAGGAAAGAAGAATGGATTGTCCTTGAAAGAAGCTTCTCTTCCCTCAACGACCATTGCACACAAGATTGGAGCGGCAACAGCGACTGGCGCCGACGCCGATGCAAAATGCCCCTTATTTGTGCCCCAGCTAACGACCAGAAGACAGGTAATCCCCTTCACCAGCCTTGCCATTATCCGGTCGCTTATGTGTGTGCCTTTCCCTCCTTTTTCTCCTGGCCAACGACAAAATGCAAGCTTTACTGCTGCACGTGGTGCTCCTGCTGGAGGCATTTTTATTGCTTATGCTGTACTGCTGCTGTGGCGTTTAGGTTATTGCCGGTTGCCATGGAGCGAGGGGGAGGGCAAGAGCTGTGCTGCATCTGTGCATTTGTGCTCTACGGGCCTCACCTGCGACCCCTACCTGAAAATCTGTCGGCGGCTTATTAGTGTGGGCGGCAGCTGTACTGAGCAGAACGCGTTCATGTGCGAGTCGGGTATATGCGGCTACGCCGCTACACAAACGGCCCAGGGGGAGCCCCTGGGGGGCCGCCATTCTCTGTCTAGGTACTGCATCGTTAAGGACCTTCCCCCTGGGGCTGCATGCGACCGCTTCCGCCACTGCGTTACCGACTGCCTGCAGTGCGTCCAGGGCATTTGCAAGCCCGTGCCTTCCCCCCTAGACCATCAGCAGATGCTTTTGGAGCAGCAGAAGGAACTAATGCTGCCTCTAGCCGTCAATGGGTTTAGCGCAGAGAACCAGCAAACCGAAGTAGCTGCGCCAGACACGCAGCAGCAAGTCACAAGGAACCTGCAGCGCGCCAGGGGCACGATGGCAGCAGCTGTCGGGAACGAGGCAGCGCAGGACCGCGACCCCATGTTGAAGCGGCAGCAGCATGCGGCTTCAGCAGCAGCATCTTTAAATGCAAACAAAGTGTTAGATGAGCAAACCGTCCGTCAGGCTTGGGAGCAAAGAGCAGCAGAAGCCTCAGCTCTTCTGGGTGAGACCGTCACAGCTGAGGACTTGGCGTCTTTCTTCTCTGTTCCCCGCAACGAGAGCGGGGAGCCCCTAGCGCCACAAGAAGCTCTAGAAAAGAAACAGAACGAAACACATGTTGAAAACGAGGAAGGGATCACGGGCCAGCAAGCACTGTGGGGCCCCAGATCCCAGTATCAAGCACTGCAGCACCCAGGAGCGGGAAGAGGGACAATTATTGACAGACCGCAGCCACGCCCGCTACTCAACGGCTCCCTGGCCAAACGGCTCGCGCGGCTGTTCACCGGCGTGTCGTATGCATTCACTCCTGAAGATCAGCAGCAGCATATGAGCTTAATGCATACACTGGGGGGGCCCGCCTTTGGCTTCCCTTCTGCGTTGCCGCCGCAGCTGTCACACAGCTTGGCTCCTACCCCTATTACTACGGGAGGAATAAAAGCTCCCCTATCGCAGCATGACGTGTTCGGGACATCTTCGTTTGGGAGTCCGGCGGCGGGCACCCCGTCTTTGTCTCTGCAGCAGCAGGAGCAGCTATCGGCGCAGCTGCAACAACTGCAGCAATTGCAGCAACCACAGCCGTTCACGTCCTTCGACTCATCCCTAGAAGCAATGGAAGCTGCTGGGATGAAAGGCAAAGCAGCACAGCGAGAGCGCGGCAGCTCTGAGGAGGAGGGAGAGGCTCTTGAAGGCTTGGTGTACCCGGGCATGCCAAACCCTCTTCTCAATCCTCTGCAGCTTCTAGGGTTTCAACCAAGGCAGCCCACTGGCCCACTGCCCCCACCTCTGGGAGCCTCACCCGCACTTAACATGCAGAGGCAGCCCATGCCGCCCCGCCTGCCTGGAGTTGTACCTCCCCCGCTGGGCCATGTTCCTCCGGGTCCTCTTCCGCCCCTCAGCAGCGTGCCTTTGGGCGCTTCAGCGTTGGGCGGTACACTCCCGCCACTGCCGCTTCATCCCAAAGTGCAAACGCAGCTGCTGCCTTCAGTGCCTTACGCTCCAAACGTGGGGCCCCTCAACGGCCTACCTAGCCGACTGCCCACGGATTTCAAAGGCGGCTGTTGGCTGGACCGCTGCTGTGCCTCGGTGAGGACTGGCGAGAGCAGCGGTGCAGAAATCAGATGGATGGCAGTAAATTCAACATGTGCACCATAGCACATATGAGCAACGGAGACGGCGAGTGGTGACAAGGGCTGCTTCCTGTATTTTGTGCTGAGGCAGTGACGCAGTTTGGGTGACTATGTGCTTGAGCCGTGGCTCCTCAACGAGATGAGACCCATAAAGTAGCATTCCCGTGCTGCTGGCTTCTCCGCTTTGCGTAATTGCGCCTGTGTCTTTCGTCCTGTTCAATACATATTCGTGAGTATGCATGCATTTGGAAGTTCTAAGCAACCAGCCAGCAATACGTTTATGTAGCTGAGCTCTTTTTGTCTCCGTGTTCTGCGTTGCAGCACCACTACTGCTCCTTCCTTCACGCATCTCAGGGCTGCCAGGCTCGGAAACGCGAGGGTGCGACGTGCGTGGGCGATAGTGCGCGAGAGTGCGAGGATCGTTTGTCTTGCGTTAACGGAGAATGCAGTCCCTGGTTTACCTCTCGACATGCCTCAGCTGGGGACCCTATTGTGTTGACGGACAACGTGGATCTAGACAGCGTCTGTGCTCCCTGGCAACGCTTCGAGTACAGCACAAGCGGCCACTCCTCCCATCTCCCAGGGGGAATGCCGCCACAGCTGGCGCTGCCTTCTCCCCTGGAAACTCCCAATCCCTACGGCAACAATCTGGGGAGAGACATAGTGCGCACATTCCGCAAGTTCTCCGGGCGTTGCGTGCCTCTCGATAAGCGCAGCTGCGTGACAGACAGGGAGTGTTGGGGAGTCGGAGGGTTTGGCTTCTGCGACGTTCGCAGCAAACGGTGCCGCACGCCATCCTATCCTGCATGTCTGTCAATTCTTAAGGACTTATACTCTTGCCTGTGGCACGAAGGAAGGTTGAGGGAAACTACAGACGAATATATTGTCACTCACGTGCCCAGAACCCCTCAGTTCATTCTACATGAGGCACCAGCCAGTGTTAATCACGTGCAAAGCAAGTGCATTCCTTCCGTTGTAAGGGCAAAGAGGGCGGAATTTGTCAAATGTGTTCATGAACAAGGTTTTACGCTGGAGAGGATCGTCTATGTGCCGGATGAATGGTTCCAGGGATAACAGCAAAGGCATGAAAAACAATGTTGCGGCTAAGCAATAACAGCAAATGGCGGTGCTGGAAAAGAAAATTCAGCCATTCAGTTGCTGCTTTTACTAAGTGGCAGCTGTTCACTGGCTTATGCAGTGAACACAAACAGCGCTCTCACAAGAATGACCAGCCATAGTAAAGGGCGATAACATACGCACAAAACAAGAGAAAACATCACCAACGACCTATCATCGGGTACAACGAAAATACCAGCAGACAAAGGTCAGAAATGCCAGTAAGAACCAACAATATTGATGGACCAAAGGCACCCTTACATTCCTTGTCTGGGCACCAAACCGAAGGAGGGTGCGTTGCCTGTGTGTTATGCAGTTGAAAAGGAGCATGCTTATAATATATATATGCATATATATACATAAATATTACGCATGTGCATTTATACGCATTCATATTCATGTACGCATACACTTCAAACACATTCTGAACTTCACGGACACATTCATGTTCATTTACACAAGCCAATACAGTAAAACACACAGAGGCACAAATACGCACACGCATACGCACGCAATTACATATGCTGCCGTATAAAAGTACTTTCATATGCACATAAGCATGTATATGGATGCATACGCACATAGAACTGTGCAGGGCCTGCGACAGTAAAACGGTCCACTGCTTTAATGGCTGAAGTCAAAGGACAAAGCGACAGTAAACGGTGATTTTCCGTTATGTCCCCCTTGTTGTAACTGCAACCCATGTCAGCTCAGGTTTACATGCAGCACGAAATACTCAAGAGGAGAACAAAAATTTGCTTGTTTTGAAGATGTCATTCTATCGCCCTACTTGCCGCAGCACGTTTTGGACAGGCGATATTACAACGCGAGAATCCACCTACCCACAGCGGCTCCCCATTTCTAGTCACAAGTGCAGGTTTTTCTCTACCAGGGAAGCCCCTACAAAAAGGGCTGGTCCTGGAGCATTTGTGAGAGGTACCACTGCGAGCTTTTGTCTGCGCATTGTGGTGTTGGTGCACTGTTTCCGCCGGCAGGTGTTCAGTTATTTGTGCCTGCGTGCGCATTCATGTTTCTCTTTCCCTATGTTTCTTTGTTTTCCTCTAATCGTGTAGCTGCCCGTCAGCGACTAACTGCCAACAGGCAGCAGGGTATTTGTCCGCCAGGAGGCGGAAGAATCGACTCAAACCCAACAGCTCAGGTTTAAAGAAACCACCTTCTTCAAAGAAGAGTCAAGAGTTTATGGTTGAACTGCAACAGATAGTTTTCCGGAAGTAGGCAATCAGCGCTGTTCGTGCGAAAGGTCGTACAATTGTTTCGAAAGAGCGTCTACACAGAGCGCGTAAAATATGCATGAAGAAACGAAATTCGACAAACATGATATTGGTCAGGTACACAAGCGATGCTTATACAGATATAGACGGCAAAAAAACGCACTCTGCACAAATGCTGCTCGTAAGCATTCGAGAACGGCCCACTGGTGCCAACAAGCGCTATTGCTGCAGTTGCGGCAGCTCCAGGCGTTGTCCCTGCATCATCCAAGACTTCGCGAGCGTCCTTAAGAAGCTGACCCGAGCCGCTTTCGGGTCGAGTGTTTCTGCAGGTGAGGCTTTAATGGACACCACGCAGCCGGCCTTAATTCTGGTGTTCGCGTCACTGGTGCGGTACACCCTTCGCATGCAAACGAAACCTGAATTTAAGGCCACCAGGCTGTCGTCGCCGCCTCTCATAACTCCTAAGTAGCAATAACACAGGGGCGCATAGATACGTACCTTTGCGAAAAAAACATGTCTGCAAAGATACATTTAATTCTTTGAAACCACCGAAATGAGCGTTCACAGCACGGGCGCATGTATATTGCTTAGGTCCTAACACACAGTTGCCCATGTGCCTCCAGAAGTGCGCGTGTAGTTCCACAATACTTGTCTTATATTCAGAAACACGGGTAAAAATGCACTCACACTTTCGAATATGTACAGGGACAGATTCATGGGTAGTTTACAAGCACATATACATGAATACACTTGAATATCTATTTGTGCGTCTAGCGTTTCATAGAATTGTATCCATACAAGCGTGTATACTGCATTACAACCTTATATATGCGGGGAATATGTCTGTGGCTTTGAGGTGCATTTCGCAAGTTTATCGAGTCCATTACGGTGTGCTTGCTGAAGTTCGTTCTTGGAATATTATGTTGAAAATTCAGACGCCACAGTATTAACTGAGATTACATGAGACTAGATCAGCAGGAAGGATAAAGGAAAATCCCCACAAATCTACACAGAGAAAGCAGCACAAACATCCCACTGCTGCATGCCGACCGGGTTAGCAGGCACGAATAAATGCACGCGCATGAACGAATCCACAAAAATACGCAACTAGTAACTCCATAGTATGCATACAAATAGCTCAGCATTACGATACATAGCATATGCTCGAAGGCCTCAAAATACACACAACTAACTTCAACGCGTGTACGAAGACCTTGAAGAAGATAAGCAAATGGCTGTACCACGTGTAAGTAAATATCAACAATACATGAACAAATTGGTAGCTATGCCGTTACCTTCGCCTGCCTTGAATCGAGTGCCTCTCTGTCGCACCAAAATATCCCCCGGAAGTACGAATTGCCCTCCAAATTTCTTCACGCCTGCATTTGAAGTTCACCAGTTCATTACACTGGGCAAGGCATGCAACTCACTACTATTGCAGCGCACCACTGATTTGCCTGTCTGTGACAATTAATTAATTAGTCTCACCCAAGAATTTGGGGCGGGAATCCCTATTGTTCTTTGTCGCGGCGCCGCCCTTTGAAGTGGCCCAGCAAACTGTCGCCGATGTGCAGCTGTTGGGAGGAGCATGAGAGGTGGAATTCTTGCGCCTGTAGCACATCACGAAAAAAGAAGAAAAGCAAACTAGAAGAAACTGGTGGAGACTTGGCACAGCTGAGGGATACTTCGGTGCGCGTGGTTAGCCGAACACGCACGTATTTACAGTGGCGGGCGGAGCACAACTGTTCTTCTTTTCCATTAAATATGCGCATTCATTCATACATATAGAGTCCTATTCTTATTCACATCTGTTGCTTTCTATTTCTACATGCATTGATGCTCACAGTTACCGTGGCGTACCTACGCAAATCTGTAGACATTGGTGTGTTCGTTTTGCTCTATCTCGCTGACCTCTTTGTATGCATGCTACGGGTAATATTGCCTTGTTTGCGTTGGTTGTCTCCTTTAAGTAGCCACTTTTCCTATGTCACTGCATTCTACGTACTCTTGCATCACGTGTGTCGACTAGCCTGCTGTTTGCGAAGCGCACCGGATACAAGGAGGCGGAAGGGCAAACCCAGACCCAGCAGCTTCCAGTTCTAGGCAGAAACGGCCATTGAATGGCAAAATAAATGACTTCGTCCTATTAGTTGTTGCCCTAACACTGCATTTGGAAGCGCATAAATCGCCGTTCTGCTCAGCAACTCCACCAGGGCGAAGTGAATTGGGCAGGGCTCCTCTAAGTGGAGGGATAGCGCACGCAAAGGTTGAATTTTCCACCGCCTTCTGACTATTTTGCTTAATTAAAGGCGTTAAAAGTAAGGGTTTCCTTTTGAACTGAGGCGGAGCGCTTGCTGCGACGCTGCAGAACACCTTGGGAAGAAGCAACAATACTAACCACCACGAAAGGAGCATAGTCATCGAAAGTCGCCGCTAATACGGCCTTATCGAGCCTTTATTGATGAGTAAGCACAGTGATATATTTCAAACGTTTCTTAAAGAGCGAGACTTGACAGCCAACACACTCCAGCCAGTTCGGTCGGCAGTGATCATATTTGCTGCCGGAGCCGGCTTGGCCGGAACGGCCTGATAGGCCTAAATGACCTGCCTTCGGTGTTGAGTTTCTTTCCCATTACATAGAAAACAGTAATTCAAGATACTGATGGGGAGAATGAGTCAATGCCGGACTTCAAGGCCCTTGTAGGCAACCACCTTCTCTGCATGCGCTGAGATGGCTGCTAGGAGCTGATTTATAATAAGAGTTGGCTCCAAGCTCTCCATACACAAGAATTGTAAATTTTAAGCGGAATACTTCATCGGCAAAAGCACTGTAGGAATGAAGCATAGCTGCTGCGCACATAATGCAAATGTCTTGATTACGTTACATTCATGCCCGCACCGTCTCATGCCCCAGCTTGCTGTCAAGAAAAATCTGTGAACAATCTAAAGCTTCCAATAAACGCGAGAGCTACCTCGCCTCCGTTCCCTCTGAGGAGCAACTAGTAGCTGAGTTCCACTACTGGACTCCTTGACGCTCCACGTTGCGCAATTGCAGTTACAATTCTTACGCAGAACCAGATACGCATATACTTTGGGGCTAAGCGTATTCCCAGAGACAACCGTAGCAGTGAGGGCCGTAGCAGTGAGGTAACAGTTTGAGACAACACTGCATGAAAACTACCTGACGAGGAGAGTTGGCAGGCATTTACCGGGGAAGTTGATCGTCGCAAAGACCAAACTTTATTGCTGGGTTGATAATATCGCCGTAAGGCGCGTTATGCTCTCCGCCCGAAGTCGATGTAAGCACGACGAAGGGCACCATCGCAATCACAAGCTGTGCGGCTCATGCGTTGATCAGAATGTCTGCAGGCACGAAATCATGTGCTTAAGTTATACCTGTTTCGCTGTTGCAGATCATCTTCAGCGCACAATAAACGTGTACAGTCCGTCTCAGAGAACAAATCACGCGTCCAGGACACTGAATTCGCTGGCCAACAAAAGCAATAAATAAACGGTGCAAAGCCAAATGTCAGAAAAGAAAGCGAAACAAACGAAATATCCAAGGAAGACCTACTTGCAAGTCTTGCCAGGTATACTTCCAACAGTCCCAAGGCAACAGCAGCTGTTTGTGTTCGGCTCGTTTCGGTGGCAGCCAACCCACAGAACACTATAACAGCTGTCTAGAGTGTTGCGTTTAAACAATATATAGGAGATACGGTGTGGAATAGTACGCGCACTCTTATGCTACACTAACCTTTACATTCACGGCAATGCAAACATCTGCGCATTTTTCTGCACTTGGGTGCATTCAATGTACTCGACTAACATCTTTGTGTATTTACATCCGCATGCAGCGCAGCAATTGCACTTATTTTCCGAACCGCCCCAATCGCGTACCGCACTGATCCGCATAGTGTGCACATGCAAGGAAGCACATATGCATGAATGCGCACACGCTCACCTTCGCAAGAAATAAAACCACCCCTGCAAGGCCGTTTAAAAGGGTGGCCCTGCTTACTTCTGGCCGCTTCGAGGCCAACAAATCAGAATTTGTGGCACATTGAACACATGTGGTAGCAGCGTCCAGCGTTTTTCACGGGAGATACCGCCTCTCGTCATAAGAAACAACCAACAAGCCTAACCCCCCAGCGCTTAACCCCGAAACCGAAAAGACTCTAAAACAGAGCCTCATGTGCAGCGGCAGAATTCGGAAGGAAAGTTTGAATTCGGTTTGCATAATCACTGGACGCCAGAGTCCTGTGAAGTGCCTGCGCTAAGGGGGATATCACAAGACGGGCTCCTGAGAGCTCGTCTTTTGGCTTCAGGGTTTGGTATAGCAAGTAGCAAACGAAAAGCCCGAAGTGCCGCGAGCCCTTTCGCTGGCCTCTCCGTGCACCTGCTAAACCCAAAGGCACGCAGAGTCGATGAGGCCGGCGGTCAAAGCAACAACAACGCTGGAAAACAACTGCTCCGCAGAGACACAAAATGAAGACATGTTCGTCTGCGTCTGCGTGTACGTCAGTTGTGAAGAGAACGCATAGGCATCCTTGAAACAGCGCAACTTAAGGGCTGCCGGTGGAGCTCTGCAGGTCGGGCTTAGCTGTGCGACGCCATCCAGGGGTCCAAAAGAGAAAACCAAGTGAAAGATGGACTGGCCTGGTTAGGCAGCGAGAAACACAAACCTACATCAACCTTTGCAGCTTCAGCTATGCCTTCCCTACAAGGGAGACCGTAGAAAATCGGATTAACGACGATCGGATTGAAAAGCGGAAAACGAAGAACAGACTCGGAATGTGTGGCGCATGCGGGCCATTACTGTGAGAGGAACCTTCCGAAGAAGCAGGATGAGGTGAGCTGCGGAGCGGTGTGCAAAGGAAACAGCGACCCATGGCACGCTTCGCCAGCTGCGCACAGCTAGCTGCCGTGTGCACGGCTAGCTGCACCCGCTGCGACACAAATGGCCACTCTGCAAGGGCATGGACGGCACGGAGACCTACCTCATCACCGCCGCATGGAGCTACAGGACCCCACACAGAAAGGGGCTTGCGATGAAAGACAAATAATAAGACAGCACTAGAAACAACAACTGCAAATGCCAAAAACCAACTGCACCCTACGCTTTGCGGGCCACAGCCGGCCACGAGGGCCACGGAGACTCCATGACGCCCTCAGCACAGTCAGCCACCACCATAAAGGCAGTTGCAGTTATGCGCGCTGTACTTACACCCAACAGCCCCAGCCTCCACCTGTCTCTTCGACAGGAAAGCGCGAACAGTTAAGCGAAACACAAAACAACACAACCTCCCAAACAAGACGGCCTCGGGAAGGTCCCAGGCCGTACGAAAAAGACGGAAAAGAGCCGCTTTGTGCAGAAACATCCAATTGAAAACTGCCCCATAAAAACAGGCTCAGCTGAAGCCGCTCCCAGCTTGAAGCAGCGCGAACGGAGACAAGGCCTCACTGGGCTCTGCTTGGAGGCCCCTAGCCATTGATAATTGCTGCGCTTGCTGCTGCTGCTGCTGCTGCTGCTGTGTTTGGCTTGCCCTGGACGCTGCCATGACATCATCCAGAGCCCCCAGAGCGTCGAGGATTAGCTGCTGCACGTCTTCGGACTGCTTGCTAGGCACCACGCCCAGGCGAATGCTGCGGGAAAAGAGGCGCAGAAAGGGCCTCAGCTCGGCTTTGCTGCAGCTGCGGGCGGCCAGGGCTTTCAGTCGGCCCACCATGGGAGCAAACTGCAGCCGCTCTTGACACAGGCTGCTGCCCTGCCGCTGTTGCGACCCAACCTCTAAAACGCAGTTTTCAAGCACGTCTTCTAAAATGACGCACACAGCGCGCCGCCAGGGCTGCAGGTCCACTGCCTCATCCGGCGACTCCCCTTCTAAGTAATCCCTCATGCTGAACGGAGTTGATCCCGTACTAGCAGCAGCAACAGAAGGAACAGACACAAGTGCCCCTTGCCCTCCAGCTCCCCAAGAATGGGCACCCGAAACAGGCTCCATGGGCCGCTCTGAGCCATTCACAGAGCTGCTGGCCCACTGGGGAGCCCCCAAACAGACGGCATGCCCTGCTGCTGCATCTGCTGCAGCACCAGAAGCTACTGATGCTGGCCTGCTACCATCAGTGAAAACGCGGCCAAGGCTGTTCACGCTGTCCGTCAGCCCGTACTCCTCCAGCGGATCCCACGAGGACGGTGGCCCCGTTAGGTCTTTAGCGTCTCGACCGTCTAAGTTTTGGCCCGAATGCAAAGTTGATGGTTCAGTCGGGCTGGGCGCCCCTCCACCGGCGTTTCTGCCAGTGGCTCCCAGAAGACCCGTTGAGTTCGCCAGCAAGCGCAACAACTCGCTTTCCAAGTCAATGCTGCTTCTCAGGCTGCTCTGCTGCGGTTTTGTTTGCTGCGGCTGCTGCAGCGGAAGCCGGCTAGCGTGGTCTTGTTCCTGGTGTGTCTGGCGCCTCTGCAGAATAAGCGACTTAAGCGCCTGTAGCAGCACCGCCGTGTCTTGCTGCTTCTTGCTTTGTTGCAACCTTTTCGCCAGCCGCAAAAAGAGCTGCGTCCTAAGGCTTGGCTCCATCATCGCGGCGTCTGCGCCTTCCCTGCTGGCTGGGTCGCTCTTCACAGGAAGCGCGGAGCCGGCGCTCTCAGCTCTCTGTGCAGTGTTCTTCAATGCTGAGGAAGGCGGTTCCCCCCCCAGATCTCCTCCGTCTACTCTAGAAGCAGAGGACAAGGAAACGGAGGTGTTGCTAGACCCACAGCAAGCACTCTGCAGCTGCAAGTGCTGCTGCAACAGCGCCCACTGGGAGGCTGAAAGCTGGTCAGCTGCCCCAGCCAGCTGCTCCCGTTGCTGCAGCTGCTCCTCCTGCAGCTGCAGTTGCTGCTGCTGCAACGGGCTCTTGCAGGTCTTTTTCCCACCTGAGCCTCTGCCGTGCGCTGGTCGGGATGGCTCATCAGCAGACAATTTAGTGGCCCCAAGGGCACTCCCTTGCCTCTTTTGCCTCGTGGTCTGCCTCGGTTTTGCTTCAGTAGCAGCTGCAGCACGAAGTGAGCTGGCTGGGCTGAGACTGCGCCCGGTGTGTGGCGCTGCTGCTGCTGCAGCAACTACTGCCGCTGATTCCGAGCGCGGCATGCGGACTTGGCCGCCATTGCCATACATTTGTAAAGCTGCTGCCAACTCCGCTGCCTCAGCATCCATTTCAAGGGGTTCCGGCGGCGATCCTTCAGAAGGAGTGCAGCTGATGAGGCCGGGCTGGGGTGTTGCTTGCTTCATTAGTTTCGCGTATTTAAGCCGCACCTTCTCCCATCTGAAATTCCAAAGCCACACAAACTGAGATGAATTTGCTTTTAGGGAAATACCCCTCTTTTGCTGCTGAGTAGAACTACCAACAATCGGCCGATGCAACGACACATTGCAGAAATGTACATACAAAGGAAGAACCTCATGGGGTGAACCGTGCACCGCAGCGATTCAGAGACACATGGGGAAGAATGCAGACAAGGTACAAAGCAACAGAAAGACACGGCCAGTCACTAGCAAAGTCACTGGCAGAGACAAAGAGAGATACTCGAAAACAAGACTGCCACAAAATGATGTAGGAACAAACAAGACTGCTGCGAAATGATGTAGAAACTAGAAGATTTAGACTCGACGGAAAACGGCAAAGTCAGGCAGATACAAGAAACGGCGAAAGTGTGACACACTCTAAGGCAGACCGACAGAAGGAAGCAGAGAGACGCAGAAAGGCTAAAACAAAGCAGATCAAGCCGCACAAGCACGCAGACCTGACGAAAGACACAATGCACAAAACAAAATTGGACAAAGAATATGGCGAGTGCCAGGCTGACAGGGGATAAACGAGGAGTAACACAGGCAAACGAGACAAACGCAGCCACAATCAGAAAAGACAACAGAAGAAGCGATAAAAAGCAAAGTAACGGGCGCTTGCAAGCAAGCGGAGAAGCTAAACAAGACACAGGAGAATGCAAAAGCCAACGACAAGAGTGCAACGACACGTTCAGCAGAACAAGTAGGCCACACAAACAGACGCTGCCCGAAATAGCAGTGGCAGGCACTGACAAATGTGCAAACAATCAGTGGAAAATAACTTTTTAACACAGAAACATTTGAAGCCTTTAACAATTCATTTGTGTGTCCGCGCCTGTCGCACCTGAACTGCACAGCTTGCATCCTCGCCTCTGTGAACCCCTTGCAGGCCTTGACGGAGAAGGTTTTCCACCGCTCCTGACCTTCCTCAGACCAGCGAGCAATCCAGGCATTGCGAGAGTGGCAATACTTGACTCCCGGAAGCCGAGTCACTACGCGGGACCCCACTGACGGCCGCATTGACAGTGGGGGTCCCATGTCTTCCTCGGACTGGCGCCTTCCGCTGGCTGCTGCTGCTGCAGCTCGCCGGGGCGGGCGCATGCGACGGCCACCCTCAGTGTCGGGGCAGGGAGAGCCCTCGTGGGGCCCTGGAGTTCTCTCGCAGGGCTCCGCTGCTCCGTCCCTGCTGCTGCCAGCAGCAGCAGCAGGCGCGGCGACAGCAGCAAGCAGCAGCTCCCCGCACTCTGTCGAGCTCCGGTCTTCCGAGCGCACTGAAGTCGTCGACCCTAGCGGGCTGTTGGCCTCAACGCGCGCTGCTGCGACATCTCCCACAGAAGCTTCCCGGAGGCTGGCAGCAGCAGCAGCAGCAGCAGCAGGCAAGCCCTGCTCTTGCTGCTGCTGCTGCGCTGCTAGGCCGCTGCAGCCGTCATTGCCGCACACGCCAAGTGTGCCACTGGCAGCAGATGACGGGGAGCGGGAAGCAGCTCTTTGGGGAGCAGCTTCTCTCCCATCTAAAGGCGCAGACAGCTGCATGCCAAGAGCCGAAAGACTCATTCCTGGGGGGCCTGCTGTTTTGGCTGGACTCTCTGCTTCAGGAGCCATTCCTGGATTTGCTGCAGAGCCCTCAAAGGCTCCTCCTTCTTCATCTCGCGGCGACCTGGAAGCTCCGCGCCGGCCCACCTCGTCTGCAGCACCTGCTGCTGCCACAGCAGCAGCCGCCGCTGCAGCTGCAGCAGCAGGACTCGCCATTCCTGCAGCAGCAGCAGAAACCAGCGACCCCTTGCCCACTTCTCTTTTGGCGCGGAACGTCAGACGGTGGTCGACGGCTTGGGATGTGCGTCGACGGCGTGCATGCGACTCTGCTGCTGCTGCTGCTGCCGCTGCTGCTGCCGCTGCTGCTGCTACCAGATAACAGTCTGTGTTACTCTTACTCAGCCCAAATCCACCTGTACCTTGAGCTTAGCTCGAGGGGCTACGGGGCCCCTGCGCCGCTGCAAACGCAGCCAAAGAACCTGCGCGACTCGCGCGGGTCCGCGGAATGAAGCCTAGTGGCAAAAGGAGCAGGGGCCCCTAAGGGGGGCCCTAGAAGCAAAGGCTTTAGGTGGCTGCTGCCTTTGCTGAAGTCCCTTTGTGTGTGTCTTCCCTCTCTCCCTTAAAACAAAAATGAGCGGGCCAACAGAGCGCAACTACTGCGCCCCCGGGGCACCACTGGAACAAAATTAAATTGAAGGTGCTCGATGTGTTTCTCCCTCGGAAATGTAAAACCCGCGCGAATGACGCGGTCTGAGCTTTACATACACCTCGCCTTGTGCCGTCACGACTTGCGCTGGCTCAGCCGTCTGTCTTTGATAGCCGGCACCCTGTGCGCTTCTGCGGTGCCCCTGAAGCCCTCAGCGACCTCCTATTAAACAAACGGAAGTATAAATTAGCCTCCAGACCACGAGCTGAATGTGTTTGCAGAGCTACCCAGGCCACCTGCAGCAGCCTGTGATGGTAAGGCGGCGAAGAGGGAGCGTCGGTGAGAGGTGATGACTGCGGTAAGAAGCAGACGGACCACTGGATCTTCTCTGGGTGACTTCGTACGGCCCAAGGACCCCTTTCAGGCCCAAGGCTGTCGCCGTCAAAAAGAGATTGGCCGTCAGCTGGCTACAGCGTCTCCCGGCTGTGGGCGGCGAGACAGCACAGGAGCGAACAGCGTTCGGTGTATCGGCTGCGGGTGCAGCCCCCCAGTGGGTTGTGGGCACCCCGTGGCAACCGTACAGCTTGAAAATTGTGCAATAATGAGGTTCAAAGCAAAGCAACCTTCAAGATCATGAAGAACCAAGAAGAGCGGACGGCCGCCCCCACAACAGGCGCCCACAGCTGCGCGGCGGGGCAATGGCTGCTGTTCTGAGGGACAGTGAGCTTGTACATGCCTTTTTGAGGGTAAAATGGCGGAAGAGGTAGCTTATTGGGCTGCTCTCTGCCGCACCGCGCACCAGGGCGTGCTCACAGAGCCAGCCAACACCCGTGAGAGGCTCTGAGTGCCCACGCGCCCCCACGAGGCAGCCCATACACTACAGGCAGCGCAGCACCTCCCCCTACAGCTGCGAGCCAAAACATGCATCGATTTGACAAGAAAAACTGACCAATACTGGGGAAAAAAAGACCGCCGAGACGCCACCGACCCAAGCTGCGTCCCAGAGGCGCCCGTCGCTGCTGCGCAGTACAGTAGCAGCGCCTGGAGGGGAGCAAGCGTAGCGCTGGGCTGCAGGTACAGCTGACTGTGCGCAATGCTGCGAACCTCCTCAGTCAGCTTGTAATAAGTTCTCAATGTATTTATCCACTCTCCACTCCCGCTTTTTCCTTACGAGAGTCAACCAGCCATAGGCTTCTCAGTGCCTGCGGCACGAGGCACACGAGGCCCGAGCACTCGCCTGGCCCCAGAGCACTGGGCACGTGTGGCCGTGCATGCGCACACAATTTTCAGCCCTGTCCGAGAGCTATTTTGGGAATGTTTCCAGGAATACCAATAGGACACATTGACGGACTCCAGTGAGTGATGACGTGCACGAAATGAGCGTAATACTCCCGCCGCAGCATGGCTAGGGTGAGACTGCACTGGCACAGTGCAGGCTCGTAGGTATAACGTTGCGAATACCGATGCCGTGGCCTAAGCGCCGATGCGTGAGAGTTCGAGATAGCGTTATATTTGCGTGCACAGGGCCTGACTATGCATGCACTGAACGCAGCCTGGCCAGCTTAGTGATCGCGGAGGGTGCGCCAACGTGACACCAAGTGGCAGCTTCACCCAGTGGAAGCTTGCGTACTTGAACTGGGGTATCCGGGTCAAGCCCAAGGGGAAGCAAGGATAAACACTGTAAACAAGAACTGATTGCCTTGTCTTGGGCAAATTCAACCCGCTTTTGACATTCTTTCCGGAGGCAAGATGCAACACCTCAATAACGAAGATTCATGGTAGCACTACAGGAGTCACACACACGTAGAAGTTTCGGCTATTTGCATGCTGTAGCCTTAGGTGGTTCTACGGATTTGCACCGGAGCTGCAGGCTCTTCAATATGCAGAGACACACAGCAACAGGCAGCCACTGAGAATATTTATAGTTTGGAAAGGTGGCAGAGTGGAAGTGACTAGCCCGTGCTGCTGATTGTCAGTCGATGAATCTGCAGAATCGCAAAAAAAAAATGCCCAGTAGTTTTTCAGGATGTCTCAACACTCACGCGTAACTACGTAGTATACCACCTCACTGTTGTGCACAATAGAGGCGCCTGAAGCAGTTGGCACTTGATCTTCTTGAAACGTAAATTTCACGTGTGGAAGCCCAGTGAACCTTCTACTTTTTCGAGGCAGTGTGTTAATGTAATTTGAGCGAGACGCGTGCTGTCTTCCACAAGATATTGTGTTGTGAAAGCTGTTTTGTCAGCTCCTGGCTCCGAGTGGATTCAAAGAGTTTGTTTCAACGTGGGATTGTGAAAATGTTTTCTGTGTTGCAACCATTCAGGGTTGTGTTCGCACCAGGTGCCAGGCGCAGCGTTTTTGTATTGGTTGGGAAGCTGTCTCATGCTAAACCTGAATAATGGACACTTCTCAAGTGTCCTACTCTGCGCTCTGCTACTATTTAGTACCAGTGGATTGATATGTTAAGAAGGTGCTTAAACAAGCTGGACTCTCTAAATGCAATGCAGTAACAATGTTAACATAAGCCTTGTGCTCTGGAATACGCGGATGGGACGGCCACACTTGTGATGGAGAAGGAAATCCAGTGGAGATCTAATGTGATAAGGCAGGAAAAGAAAGTGTACGGATTGGGGAAAAACCAGTCGATATGGAACTTTGCCACTGCCTAGAGGACTAAGCAGCGCCTCGATATAGGACCTCTGGAAGCGTTTCCCGTCTGCTGAACAGTGGGAAACGCCAGCCCGTGGTTCAGAGGCAGCAAGTGAAGTGAAGACGGCTCCCAAGCGCACACAAAAAGTTTGTTTAGAGCCATCTTCACTTGCGTTCGGCTTGCATTTTGTTCAAGAGGACAGCGCAGCTCCCGTGTATCCTCGTTTTCCGACCTCATGGAGAGTGGCCCTCATTCGTTTGTTATCCCTCAGTAGGTACACCAAGAGTTATCTTGAAGAAAACTGTGACCATTTTGGCTTGACACCATTTAACTGCCACCGAATGTTGTTTGCAACTATCTCGATAGTATCTAGCCTCCTTGGCTTAGCCTCACTTGAAGCAGATGCTTAAGTATTAGCGTCAGAGTTACTTTGCACTAAGTAACTTCATAAAATGTCCTAAGATGTTCAGTTATCCCTGAGGCCTAGCCCCCAAGCGTAGCAGAGTATCTCCAAGAGAACCAGACACGCGGTTGAAGTCTCCCTCTGAACGCCCTCTTTGAACCAATCTGCTAGGGATTTAAGCTTATATTTCAGAAACAAGTACAGCGTAGTATTGCTGTCAGAGAACACATGGAGTGGTATCTAAGTAGCTCGTAAGCTCCTAGTGGCCCCATATTAGGAAGACAGTTTGTAGAGCGCCTAACCTTACGAGGCACCTGCATATGACTGCGTATGCTTTGTAATCTTAAGGGAGTCTGAAACGCACTCTATGGTACAACTTAACCGTGCGTTGTCAAAACAAAAATGAGTTCACTTTGAGTAGAACAAACGGCCTCCACTTTCCAATGGCGCCGACGCTGAGTGAGCAGTGGCATTGGTTTATACGCTTTACTAAAGGGAACTATTTCGTTTGATGCATGGAGCAGCAGCATCATTTACGTCCCCTGCATCCCTTAATACATCGGTTCATTAGGACCAGGGCATTGGTCATGCGACTTAACACGAAACACGACAGCGGCCTTGCGACACTCCAAAAAGCAAGCAGAAGAGGCCCGAAATACAAGTAAGGTGTACGAGGCATGACTAATGGAAACTGATGAAGTTTAGGCCGTGTGCACTGTCCTGCAGGGCCAGGATCTGCTTATAGTGCGTACCACTACAGAGATGCACCAGTACAACCTCATAAGGTTGTATTATTAATTATTCTACACATGAAGTATGGTTAGAGGTTGTATCCGAAGAAACCTGGCTCTTGGCGCAGACTTAGCTCTAGACTTAGCCGAGGCTGTTCTGCTGTGAAGTCAGCGATGTGGGCTAGCAGTACCACCGGTGCAGCCTGCAAGGACACACATACCGAAGGACCCCAGAATCCTCGGGGATGACAAAACGGAAACAAACTTGATTCGTCATGACTTTTAGCATCTATTTAAGCCTATTTGTCCTTACTGAATTCGTAAGTGCCTGCGTAGCTAGAAGGGAAACCTATATAGAAGAGAGGCGAGGCTGTGTTCACTACAGTGACGGCGGTTCTGTAGTGGGCGTTGTAGCTACCATAGAGACGACTGGCCAACGTGTGTAGTGCGCAGAATCGCAATGCTGCCCATAAATGGCCTTCAGGGTTATATAATTTAGGACAAGAAGCTTGACGTGGTAAGTAGAAGTTAGTATTATGAACAGCGAACTTGTCCTCCGGCAATCAGGCCCAATGTGCTCTGCAGCTAGGCTGGACAACTGAAGCTGCACGGAGAGACAAACACTCAGGAGAGAGTAGAAGTATGCTTTTGAAAAGTGGATCTACAATGGTGATGCTCGGATCCTTTGAAAAAATAAACAGTGTTCTCTGTGGAAGCGTACTGCACGTGCCTATATAGACAGAACGCGAAAGAGACGTAGGAACAAAGCTGGGCATAGCTCACTGC